TTTTGTTAATTAAATTAGGCTAATTTTTTTTTTATTTTTTCAATTACTTTAAAATTTAAAATAAATTATTTTTTAAATTTTCAAACATATCCTAACTATTTTATATTTTTTAATTAAAAAATAAATTAAAATTAAAATTTTGAAACAAATACAAAATCTTAAAAATTAAATTATAACAAAAAATATATATATATTAAAAACTAAAATATAAACATAACAATTTGTCGAGAATTAATTTGATAATTACTTTTAAGCAAAGTCGACAGTACTAAGACCAGGCCCAAATTCTAGGCCCAAGAATAGGTCCAAGCCCAGGCCCAAAGGACCCGAAAGAAGACAACATTGAAACTACGATGTCGTTTTAGTACAACTAAAACCACGCTGACGTAAACACAACACATTTGACTTGTAACCAGAGCAAAACAGAACGAATTATCCAAATAATAAAAAATTAAGAAAATGGTTTCGTGTTGGACTCCATCAAGGAACCTATTAAGTTTCCTCTCTCAAGAAGGAAACCCTATTAAATAAATTGTTCACTTGTGATCTTCAATTATTCTTCATCCCTTTGATTTTGACCCTCTCTTCTTTTCTCAAATTTCCAAACTTTTTGATCAAATCGATCGATCAGCTCAACCTGAGCTTGACGACCAACCTTTTGTTTCGTGTTGGGTATGTTGTTTTCATCTGTTTTGTACAAGTTATTGCAGTTGAATTTTGGTTTTTTGTTGCGTGTGTTGGGTTTTTTTGCTTCTGGGTGATGATAAATTCCGTTTAATTATGTTGGGTAGAGAGGGTTTTTGTTGGCTTTGGTTTGGGGTTGTGATGTTTCGTTGTGTGAAATTTGCAGAGAAGAGGCGGAGGTCCATGACGAAGAGCTCGTTCAAGGTTGAGCATCCTTTAGGTTCGTTTTGTCTGTCATTTAATTGATTGCAATTCTTTAGCTTTTGCTTCTATCATTCTTAATTTGATTGAGGATATTTTAGGGTTTGCATATATGGTGAGTTCTTAATGTGGAAGGATACATTACACTATAGAAAGTTGCTACTTTTATTGATTTCTTTTCTCTTTGGTGGGGGGATTTGGTGAATTTTAAATATGACGTTCATGTTTTCAATCATTGCTTGCGTACTTGAATTGCTTGCTTGCTCATTATCTTGATACAATTTAAGTTGTAAGTGCTGATATTTTTCGTAAAAAATATGCAGTCAATCAAATAGATTGCAATATGAACACATAAACAGTTAAGATCTATTCATGGAGATTCTTCTGGTCTCATTTTTTTGTTTATGCTGTTAAAAATTGGTATATAGAACATTCTTACTTATTGTCCAACACGCTGCTTATTGCTTATCAAGTTCGCTGTATGTGAGTTTCCTGCTTGGTTGATTTGATTCTTATTCTTAACATGATGTGCAACGTCTGTTATAATGAAAAA